TGAGAGAAAAATTAGTAAAGAGGACATTTATTTTGTCTCCGAGGTTAGCTAGAGCTAACATAGAAAACCGTAAGAAGATAGCTTTAGCAAAAGAAAAAATAATTAGATCTTAAAACTGAAAGTTTTCAGACTAAGTGTTAAACAAAAAGAAGTAATTATAAAAGCTTTACGAGCGGAAGTTAGAGACTTGAAAAATAAATTATAAACACAGTATTACAGCAGGCAAATTCGCAATTTATTGCTACAGGAAAGGCATTAATAATTTAAAAAAGAGAAAAGTATAGAAATACAGCTTTTAAAAATAATACTGCTATTAGAACAAATAAAAACGTTATTACTAACTAGTTATTACGTTATTACTAGAAAGTGATATGACCCAGATGGAGGATGGCAATATAAATAATATAGTTACATTAAATAATTAAACTTATCCATTAAAAATGAGGATATAAATAATATAGTTACATTAAATAATTAAACTTATCCATTAAAAATGAATTTACAGCATGATATTGGCCTATGTCCCAACATGTAACATTCCATATTTAGTGGGCAAAATTGGTCAATATTTAGATGTTTTGTTTTCTCATATTCCTCACCGTAGTACTGCTCACAAAATGGCCTGTGAGCTTGGCAGTATGGCAGATCTACAAGTAGCAGAATAGACCATCAGTAATAGTTACCTTACTCTAGGTTTTGACGCAACAATACAAGAAGGCGTACATGTCAACTGTATTCACTTAACATCAAAAAATAAAAGCCAGGATATCGCTATTGACCAATTACCAGGTAGGACAGCTGTTGATTATGCAAACCACATATGTAACGAATTTGGTCATACTGCTTTAGTTTATTCAAATTTTCACTTAAAACCCTTTGAAAAATGTCGTCGTTTGATTATCTCAAATATATCAAATACAATGTCAAATAGAGTTTCGGTTAACCATCAACAATTAAAAAAATTGGCGAAATCTGGACTAAAAATCTTAATGAGTTAAACTGCCATTTGCACCCGCTTGATACAATTGCTATTTCTTATCGTTCTGCAATTAAGTCTCTTGAAATTGAAACTTGCGAACTATTTAGTTACAATTGTATGGCAGTCACAATTATTTTGGCTATGAACAAGATGAGGTTTAAAGACGTCAAAGGCGATTCAAAAAGATTTGTAGAGAAGAAGAAAACAATAAAAACCCGGCTTGAGCATATAAAAATTCGAGCTGAGATTTCGAAAAGACAGACTAACAAACGCCAAAAAATCGATGAAAAAGAAAAAAGACAATTAGAGCGACAATTATCTTTAGTAACTGTAAGTGAAATTCTAAATTTGTTTAAAAACTTGTCTTCTAAGCAAATGATGTTATACCAAAAATTATTGATGGGAGAAACCTTTGCCATGAATGGTATGATACCGATTCACCAAGGACAGTCTTATATGATGGCAAAGTAAAAAAGCTAAAAAAAACACTGAGCATGTTTGTGTACATTATATACATTATTTCATACTGGACTAAAGACGAAACTGACTCTGAAGCTGTTGACCATTGCATGAAAAAATTCCAGCTGATTGTTGATGTCATATCAGATGAATTAATGTTTTCATAAATTTGAATATGTTGCCATAAATGATAATACTTATGCAATAGCAAAGTAGGCACCTAAGGTGTGGTTTCATTTGGGTCATATCATTTTGATAATTAAAATGTACCGCAAGTAGTGGAACTTGCAAAAATAATGTGCCGCGTGTAGTGGAACTTGCAAAAAGGTACAGCAAGTACTCCTAAGTGCTCAATTTAAGCCTTCTACTTTAGTTCATTTTAGAATTATATATATATATACATATATATATATATATATATATATATATATATATATATATATATATATATATATATATATATATATATATATATATATATATAAATATATATATATATATATATATATATATATATATATATATATATATATATATATATATATATATATATATGTATATATATATATATATATATGTATATATATATATATATATATATATGTATGTATATATATATGTATGTATATATATACATATATATATATATATATATATATATATATGTATATATATATATATATATATATATGTATATATATATATATATATATATATATATATATATATATATATGTATATATATATATATATATATATATATGTATATATATATATATATATATATATATATATATATATATATATATATATATATATATGTATATATATATATATATATATATATATATATATATATATATATATATATTTATATATATGTATATATATATATGTATACATATATATATTTAAATACAAATTTTAGGAATTGTGTAGTAATATTATTACCATGTTGTTATTTGTTTATTTATATATTTGTTTATACTATTTCTTATGTTGCGGAAGTGTAAATGTTTATTAGAGAGTGAAAATGCAAATCATAAATTGAGAATTTTCAAAAACGAATACTTTTTTTTAGTTCAAATAAAATTGTGCAAGAAGATGGAGAAAATAAAAACTGAATCCTATTGGACACGTGCTCGACATATTAAAAAAATTGCCAATAAAATTTTATTTGTTCAAGCGGATGCTAATAACAGTAGTCCTGACAGTACAATAAATACGATAAGTATTTCTAATGATAATTGTGGTTTTACAAATTTTAATAATAATAATAATGATAGTAAATTTTTAGACAATAGCGAATATAAGACAAGAGAGTTAGAAATTGATTTTGATAAATGCGATAATAACAGTTATTATAATAAAGTTAATGTCAGTGATGTCGAAACTGTCAATGAAGTTAATGATAATGAACATACTTTATTTGAACAACTGTGTAATTGGGCTGTATCATTTGACATTACCAATATTGCTATCACTGCTTTGTTAAAACTGCTAAAAAATTATCACGATGAATTGCCATTAGATGCTCGTACTCTTTTGCACACACCACAAAAAAGTTCTGTTGTTGCTCTTAAAAGTGGAGGAGAGTATTTGCATTTAGGTATCCAATATGGTATTGAGGATTTATTTAGAAAAGGTGAACTTATGCAATGCAGCAAACTTGAATTGCAATTTAGTATTGACGGTCTTCCTCTATTTAAGAGTAGTAGCTCTTGTTTGTGGCCTATTTTATGCATCGTAAGACAGAGTGAACAAAAAAAGCCTTTTGTTGTAGGTGTATACAGTGGTAATAGCAAACCTGTAAATTTAACTGATTATTTTGAACAGTTTATACTAGACTGTAAGAAATTAGTCAGGCATGGATTGTTAATTGCAGGTGTACATTATGAAATTGCTTTGCATAGTTTTGTATGTGATGCCCCTGCTCGAGCTATGATCAAACGTATAAAATCACATAGTGGATACTTTGGCTGTGACAAATGCAGAGTAGAAGGAGAATGGAATGGAAAGGTTACATTTCAGGAATTAAATGCACCATTGAGAACGGATGATCAGTTTGACAAGCAAGCCGATGAAGATCATCATTTAGGGCTTTCTCCACTGAGCTCAATACCAATTGGCATGGTATCTGGTTTTCCCCTAGATTACATGCACTTAGTGTGTCTAGGAGTAGTTAGAAGACTTTTGCTTTGTTGGTTAAAGGGTCCTAAAAGTGTTAGATAATAGGATATGCTGCTCACATGCCTACAGAATTTGCCAGAAAACCCAGGTCTGTGTCTGAAATTATGAGCTGGAAGGCAACTGAACTGAGACAGTTTCTTTTTTATACTGGTCCCGTTGTACTGCGTGATATTTTACCAGAAAATTTGTATAAAAATTTTTTATATTTGTCTGTAGCAATTTCTATTCTAGCAAGTCCAAAATATTGTAGGCAGTATTTGGACTATGCGAAACAACTTCTTATTGTATGTGTTGAAAATATGAAAGTTTTATAAGGTACAGGCATGCTTGTTTACAATGTTCATGGTTTAAATCAATTGGCTGATGATGTAAAAAACTTTGGCCCTTTAGATAACTTTTCTGCCTTTCCATTTGAAAATAAGTTACGTACTCTAAAAAAACTTGTTCGTAAGCCGTCATTTATTTTAAAACAGATTGAGAGGCGTTTAGGCGAAAGACAAAATAATAAAGAAGTTTTATTGCCCTTAAAAAAGAAAAATTGCATTCCACAAAAAGAACACAATATTGGACCGGTGCCTTTTGGTATAAGTTGTTTAAAACAATATTGTAAACTCAGTCTTCCAAGTGGATTAGTTTTGTCAACATCGCCGGGAAACAATTGTTTTTTAAAGTTGAATGGACAGCCGTGTTTGATACGCAACATATTGAGTGTAGAACAGTTTAAATATAAAGTAATTGTTGAACTTTTTAGATATAGTCAGGATTTCTATATATCACCTTTGCCATCATCGAATTTCAATGTCTTACATGTTTCCAATCCTTGTGGTTTTTATGAAACTATCAACATTGATGATATCCTTCAAAAATGTGTATGTTTGCTTTATGGAAACAATTCTTATGTAGCAATTCCTTTTATACACACAATTTGTTAATAGATTCATAAAATGTTGTACAACTGATAATTTGTTTTTAATGAAAAAAACTTTTATGTATATGTAATATAAAAAGCGTTAATTGATTTTTTGTAGTGTTTAAATATACTAAGGGTGCATAAATTACATGACTAATTTTTTTATTGCAAATTATTAAGCAAATGGGTTTCATAATTGACTAGGACTGTGTCTATGAGTCGGGCTGAAATAAATTATTTCATTAAAAAAATTTATTTTAAGTTGAAATTCATGTTACACTTAAAATATAATGTACATAAAATGTAAGGAATAGAAAAAAATAAAATATTTAAATAATAATGGAAAGTGATATTAAAATATAGTTAATGTGAAATGTGAAATTATTGAATTAAATCATGAGAAGTATTTATTTTATTAATTTTTAAAATTATTTTTATAATTTTTATCTCTTTGTTAACGACTTTTAATGCACTTTAATAATTTCAGTATAAAAATAGTAATTTTCAATATCTGTTTATCATTGAATTCATCTGGAAAATGTTTAAGGTTTTTTAAATATATAGCTAACGTTTTTTTAATTTTATTATTCCTTTAATAAATGAATGTATACAATTTAGATACAAATATTTAAATATATATTAAATATATTAAGGCTATTTATATGTTTGTGCCTATCCTATTTTTTTAAAGTTTCATAACAGATAATAACTTTCATTACAGATATTACTTTAAAAAAATATTTTCCTTGCCCATACTATTTACGCCTGTTCATTTTGTATACTTAGTCAATGCCCTGGTTTTTATTTAGTCAGTCCTTTGTCACTAATGCTTACATGCCCCTTAAATAAATGCCAGTTAACATCAATTGATGCCAGTTAACATTAATTGATTGAAGTTGTAACTGGTGTATTAGAAAAATGAAAATGTTAATGTACATGTATTTTACTAGTATGCAGTTGTCGTTTTTCAAACAAGCAATGGAGAAGAGGTAGATGCTGTGCCATTGTTTTGGCTTTCACAAGAGCGAACATGTTGTGCTTGGCCTCCTCAATCTACACCAATTCATATGGTTGTAAAAGCAATCAAGTCCATGGAAATGCCTGAAACAGATTGGTTGCAGTTTACTGTAAAGTATCTTGGAGTATATGGTTAGTATGCTTGCCTACTTTTTTTCAATATATTTATATATATATATATATTTATATAACATATATATATTTTTATAACATATTTATATTATATTTATAACATTATATATATATTTATAACATATTTATATAACATATATATATATTTATATAACATAATATATATATTATATATAACATATATTTATATATATATATATATATATATATATATGTATATATATATATATATATATATATATATATATATATATATATATATGTATATATATATATATATATATATAAATATATATATATATATATATATATATATATATATATATATATATATATATATATATGTATATATATATATATATATATATAAATATATATATATATATATATATATATATATATATATATATATATATATATATATATATATATATAATAAATTACTAAATATAATTTTAATAGTTGTTAAAATGAGTTTTCCTTTTTTAAATTTTTTGAATTTATTTTTGAAGAAGAATATGAAACTGCCAGAAAAAAGGCCAAGAAAGGAGAGATTACCTCTGATTTAGATACAGCTACATCTGGCACCAAAATTATAAAATCAGAAAAACGAAAGAAAACAAATGTTGATGATTTTCCTAATGAAGATGATGTTGATAACCAATATACGCATATGAATGACGTAGGTTCAAGCATTGATGTTGGTAAAATAAAGTCAAAAAAGAAGCCAAATACTAGAAAAGCTAATTTTGATAATCAGTTAGATTTTCAGATTTCTAATAAATGTTTTAATAAACCGGGTATTCAAAAGCTTTTACCTCCTCCTCAACCACCCCTATATATGCATCTGATCATTTATCTAATCAGAATAACGTTCAAGTTGTCAGCTCTAATTACAATAGCCGATCATATCAAAATCTGATAGAATCAGAAGATTTTATTTCTCTTCCCAGATTTTCAAGTGGTTATGCTACACCCCAATTGGAAACCACTAATTATTTACCACGCACTGAACAAGCAGTTTACGGTAATTTAAATGTTGTTAATAAAATTTAATAAAAATATAAAAAAAATTGTAATAATTTTAATGTTTTAAAATATTGAGGATCAAGTTTATTGATTTTATTGATTTGGTTTTATTAAATTTGTTATTTAGTTAATAAAAATATTTTGGACTAAAAAATTTAATTTTAAAAAACATATATTTTTCTTTTTTCTCTCCATTATTTATCCCTCCAAGTCCGAGGGGACCACTCTTTAAAAAAAAATATTTATAATTGTGGTTTCAGCCCTCTCTCAATTATTTAACTCTCTTAAGATGATAAGTTAAGATGATTAAGATGGTAATAATTTATAATTGATGGTTTAGGTGATGTCGTTAAGTTGCTTGTGGAAGTTAAATAACAGAATGAAGACATAAAATCTCAAATTCAAAATCTTTCTCAGCAACAAAATATGATTTTGAAACATCTTAATTTAGAAGTTCAGAGAGGTAATCCAAAGTTGCCTGAAAATTTAAATTTGCCATTGCAAACTTTCGAACAGATGCAAAGTTTTGAAAAGAAATTGCGACTATCAGCACTGGACAAGTTACAATTAGTGAGTTTTTTGTCATAGTGAAAAACTTGAAATATTTTGTAAGTTGTGTAATGTAAGTTTGTTAGTTGTAATTGTAAAATGTAAGTTTAAATTGTAAATTTTCCTTAGACTCCATATCTGGGCCTTCAAGGAGGTGTTACCGTGAAAGAAACTGTGAGACGAATCATGAAAATGGTTATGACTGACGAATTGGCTAAAAGTTTCAATTTTATGGGCCATGGAGATAAACATGCCTTTTCAGCACTACAGCCTAAGGAAATCGTTTGTGGTTAGTAAATATTTTCAATCCTATTATTTGAGTTTATTAAAAATATTTGTTATTACTGTTTGCAAAGAGTATTTATGACGTCAGGGTTGTTTGCATGTAGTCTTGCATATTGCATTAAATTGTTTGTTTATAATTTGTATATTATACATTACAAAAATTCCATTCAGCAAATACAGAATAAGCTAAGTGGCGTATGCTGAGTTTCGACCGGTTATGAATCTTTTAAATAATTTTTTGTAATGCGATAATTGTTATGTGATTATAGTACTATATATACTATATATTTGTGTGTTTTGAACAGCAGGTGATTACGGTATATTTATAAAAAATTTTGTATTATACAGATTCCGTGCGCGCTAACTCAATTACGAAAGATGCCAAAAATGCTGAAATTGAGGCGTCTGTTAAAACGTGGCTTCGAGTATCCTCAGATTGAGATAGAGGCCGTAGAAAGAGAGCAGAAGACAAAACAAATACCGAAAACTTTTAGATATTGTTACTAAAAAATGTTATAATTTTAATTTTGTTTTAAAAAATGTATTTTTTTTGTATCTTTGTAATCATAAATGTGTAAATAACTTATTTATTGCTAAAATTTTTATTTTATTAAAAGCATATATGCTTTTAATAAAATGTATTAATAAAAAATATATATATATATATATATATATATATATATATATATATATATATATATATATATATATATATATATATATATATATATATATATATATATATATATATTTATTCATAAATATATTTATGTTAACGTATTATTATATTGTCATTTGTATTTGTATTTTACGAGTTCATCTTGTTAACATTAAAATAAAAATGTTACTGAAAACTTAGAAATTTTATTATTTCGTTTTGTATTTTATCGAAAATATTAAGGAATAGCAAAATAAGTTTTGCTATTCATCAAAAATCTCATCAAAAAGATGTAAAAATTACATCTTTAGCCGATGCCTATGTGTTATCTGGGTCGCAATTCTATTATACAAATATTAACCAAATCGTTTTAGTAAATTTGTATAAAAATGTTTAATAATGATGCTTTAAGTTAAAGTTTAACGATGTTATTATTAATAAGATACAGACGACAGCTATTTAAGTAAATCCTGATTTTAAAGAAATATTAAAAACTACATATTTAACGATATACAAATTTTAGCATGTTTCTATTATATTTTTATAACTACTCGAAATTATAATCAACAATTAAATCAAAATCAAAAATACAATCAATAAAAAGTCGTGTTTTTAAAGGTTTTAAGAATGGCAGAAAACTATTATTGTTAAAACTTGGAACACACTGAACTTATTTCAAAATTCAGTCGTATACCGACGTTGGCACGACTTTGGTTCAACGTTATCACTTAGTTAAAAAAATTGAACAACATTTCTGACGTTGTGCCGACGTTAGCCCAGCATATGTGTGTAAGCTGGGATATTTTACTACCCAGCTAACACACTTACGTTGGGCCGACGTAGAAATATTGGTTGACAGATGGTCAATAACCAATATTAGCCTAACTTCATTTTGATAGTCAGCACAACGTCCAAACCGATTGATAGGCCAATGTTGGCTTAACGTCGGAACGAAAGATTTAAAAATACATGTTTAAAGTTACAGCAATTTTGTATTTTTTTTTTATTATTATGATCTGATTTTCCATTCAAAATTAATCACAATTATTATAAAATCATTAATTTTCGAATTCAAAGCCATCTAAAGCAATTCTCTAGTAAAAAGCTATACAACAGCCTTTCAAACCCCTAAAACCTGTAACACACTATACGCATTTAAAAATCTAAATAATGTGTAGTATTCCGACGTTCGCCCGATGTTGGTCCGACGTCAGCGCTTATATTATAAAACTGTCCAACGCTTTCGACGTTGGCCCAACTTATGTGTGCTAGCTGGGTAAATGTTTAAAACTTTGCATGTGTTTTTACTTGGCATTTTTAAAACTTAACTTCACTACAGTTAGATATTAACAAAAAATCAATATCAGTTAAGTTGGGGGTGGCAAGGGGTCTACGATACAAAAAAGTTTGGTAATTACTGATATATACAAATTCATTTATTTATAATAGTTCATCTATTTATATTTAAAATTTATTGAAAACAGAAAGATTTCGTTTTAAATACTTATGTTTCTCCTTATTTCTCCTTACTTTTTCCTTCAAAAAATAGTCGTTCGCGACCGAATCTCCTTCAATATTTAGAAAATATCTCCTTAAATCTCCTTAAAATCCTTAATTTAAGCCCCAGTTTAAGAAGTGGGAACCCTGCACATGTATTAATTGGAAATCAATTTTTACATAATAACAAAATCTAAAGAAAAGTATGTATTTAAAAAAAAATTCAACTAAATTTGCAATATCAATTACCAATTGGTAGAATAACCAGCTACAAAAATACTAATTATAGATGCAGCGTATTTTTTTTCCATTACTCTCTCTTCCCATACTTTACTTTCTACAGGATCAACACTAAATTAAAAAAAAAAAAGAGATAGGGGAAGGCAAAAATTTTTTTCTTTATATATGTTTATGCCCACATCTTAAGCGTCTAATGAGATGTGGGCCTTCTATTTGATCTGCAATAAGCTGAAAAAGCATTGTAAGATGTTTCTTTCTTTAAAATATACTATTGAGGTTGAAAACAAAAATAAGATACTTAACTTTTTGGATATAACTATTATTAATAATACTGAAAGAAAATATGAGTTCAAGGTTTACAGGAAAGATGTAATAACCAATATCCAAATCAAACCTCATTGTAATCACGATCCTAAAATTTGAAAAGCAATATTTAAGGGATAATACACAGAGCATACTCAATTTGCAAAAACCATTTAAAAGATGAGATACATTTATTAATTCAAGTGTTTACTGAAAATGGATACGATGAAAAAATGCTTAAAGATAATTGTAATCAGGTTCGATAAAAACGTTTTGCGAACAAAAATGAAATTCCATCAAACTCTAATAACCTTCCTACAATCTCTTTACCATGGATACCAATAATATCTCCCAGACTTAAAAGAATATTCAGAAAAGCTGGTTACAGAACTGTTTTTAAATCAAATGCTAACCTTAAAACGCTATTAACATCTTAAAATAATTCTAAATTACCATGCAACAGCACCCCAGGAACCTATTTAATTAAGTGCAAATGTTCCAAAGTATACGTTGGTGAAACAAAACTTTAAATACGAACAAGGGTTCAACAACAATAAAATTTTTTGAATGAATGCAAGTTAAACCAGTCTGCAATAGCATAAAGTAAAATGTAATGAGGACATTGAATGGAATAAAGTAATAACACTTAAAGTTAAGGATAAAAAATTTGAAATAAAAGTCCGTGAGGCCTTAGAGATCATCAACGTTCTCCAACGTACGGTGGTATGAATTTGGACAATAGACAATATTTAAAAACAAATTTTTGGACTTTATTTTTTTCAAACTTAGGCAAAAGAAGCCATTATAAAAGTGACGTCAAAATTTTAATTTTTTTTTTTTTTTTCAACGGTCAGCGACTTTACAAACCCACTATAAGCACAGAATAGCCATCAAAACTGGCCAATCTGATTCGCTTATTTTGAAAGAGAGGCAAATCTGCAAAATTGGAATTTAAACTTTCGCGCAATAAAAAAAATAATAAACCTTGCTTAATAACAACAGCGGTAGTGATTCTAAAAAAAATGAATTCAACATTCCCTATTTTATTTAATTCAAAGTTAATTTTTGAAGATAAAAATGTTATTCAATTGCGAGCATCAATTAAATCAGAAGATGAAGCGAACCAATGGGTAGAAATGGGTATTTGTTTTTACTTATTTATTTTTACTCTGTTCTTTAACAACGTTGAGCTCTCTTGTAGAATACACTAACATAATTTATATATATATATATATATATATATATATATATATATATATATATATATATATATATATATATATATATATATATATATATATATATATATATATATATATATATATATATATATATATATATATATATATATATATATATATATATATATATGATTTAAACACGCACATACTACAAGTTGTATAAGGGTATTTATTCCTTGGTTACAGTTGAGTAAACTTTACGCTAAAATGTTGTCAGTTTAGCACACTTAATGACCATAAATTAAATTCAAGATCAAACAGTTGATAATGTTTATCTCAAAAAAAAATGTGCTTCTTACATGGCAAATTTTATGTCCTGTGTTCAAGGTAGTTTAATATATTGTTTTTTAAATTTAAATGACATTCATTTCAAGGAGCATCATTTTAAAAATTTCACACAAACAATTATGTATTATACCCATTATTGTTATTTTTTTTTTTCATTTTTTTAGTTCTGTAATTTTGGTTTTTCTACTGTTGGAACATGGTTTAATTATGTAAATTTTTATGATTTAAAATTTACTTTATTAATCATTAGTCAACAGGAAATAATTGGATTTCTACTTGATTGAAGTAAGAGACATTTTGTTTTCTGGTATCATTTTTTCTATTTTGATATACTATTATAAGTACCGACCATTATAAGTCATTTGCTGATGTTTTAAATTTGTCATGACTATTTAACACAATGTCTTTAAATATAACATTGGCATATAATAAGTTTGTAAAAGCAATGTTTCCTTGTTACCTCAGAAAATAAACTTTTAAATATTTGTGGTTTTAAATAAAGTGATTTGGGGTTTATTTGAATAAAGTGATTTGGGGTTATTTGGCTTTCTTTAATACAAACAAGGTTTGATTAAAATAAATTGAAGCTATTAAAATAAAATTTTTTAAATATTTTTAGTTATATAAGGATTATGTATTTTGTATTAGTTTTTATTTTGTTTGCAAATTTAAATTTTTATATTTTTCTCCATTTTTATCATTTCATTCCTTAAGTTTTACCATCATCATCCCAAAATGGTGGTATTATCTTATAAGCATGTCTACTTTTTATTATTGTTGTTTCATTTCTTTAGATTTGCCTTGGTGTTCTAGCCTATATCACAAGTTTAGTTTGTTTAATGTTAAGATATTATCTTAATTTAGTAAATTTTTATGATTTGAAATTTAATTTATCGATCAATAGCTAACAGTTTAAGAAAAATTTAGGGTTAGCAACACAGGGTTAGAATAAATTTTTTTTTTTGGTAACATTACGAAATGGGTATGTATTGTTGTTATTTGTATTATTATGTTATTGCTAGTTTTTGTATTTTCTTTTCTTTGTCTGTTAGGAACCCCCTTAGCTTCTTTACTAAGCCATTATATATTTTTTTCATATCGCAATCAATAGTGAGTCAGGTCTTATAGGTCTTGAGGGCTAATAAATAATAATATAAGCATTAACTAACAGTAAGTGTATATATATCTTGCAAATGTATTTTATTTAGGCTTGTGGCACATAGAAAATATCAATGTCAACATTCAAAACTAAATAAAGAAATTAAAT